TAAATTTTTATTTTAATTCCTGGAATTTAAGCAACAAATTAATTGAGAGATCCAATATCATAAAGCTTAGAATATCGGTTCAGTATTCAATTTATTCTCCTTTTCAGTACATCTTAGTCTTAGTAGATCCTACCATTTCCTTAATATAGTCTTTCATGATTTCTTAACTTGTCTCTAGTTTTGTTCACTACCATAGGCAGAGTGATATGTATGCACTGTAGATCTCATCACAATCCTGTGCAGAATCCTTCAGGAGAGCCTGGTAATCTAGAACAACGAAGTCCAAACTTGATAGCATGGCACTCCTAGTCTCGCCTGACCCTAGGATTTCTTTTCAAATTCATCTCTCGCTACTCCTCTCTCCACCCTGTGCTTACAGTATCCTGAATAGCTGACAGTTTTATTTCTCTTCCTTGTACCTTTATATATGTTTTTCCTGTTACCTGGAATTTTCTTGGCAAATTAATACTCTTCTTTCAGAATTCCATTTAATTGAGTTATCTATAGAACCTTCCTAGGCTACATCACATATTCCGTTATAATTCCATCATGCCTTTTTTATAAGGAGCCCTGGTGACAATGTCAAGTAAACATTGAGCTGTGCTCACAAGGTCAGAGTTTCAAACCTACCAGCTTCTCTGCAGGAGAAAGATGAGGCTGCCCACTTCCACAAAGCTATATAGTCTAAGAATTAATATGTTAGATCGACTCATTGTCAGTGAGTTTGGTTTTTATATATTTATGCTATGATGTGTACAGTACAGTTATGCATTTTCTCAGTTTATCTTAAGCTATTGTATTATTAACATAATTCACATATCATTCAATCCAGTGGTGTAAATATATTAAAGAGAGTTGTACATTCATTACTAAAATCAATTTTAGAACATTCTTTTCATTCCTGTATTCATTATTAACTCTCCATTTTCCCTCAGCCTCCTCTGTCATAACCCTAAGAAACTGTTAATCTGATTTTCTCTCCGTAGATTTACTTATCTTGCACTTCAATTTTTTTTTTAAATCAATTTATCGGGGCTCATACAATTCATCACAATACATAGATCAATTGTGTA